GCGACGCGCGACGACACTCGCATTAGTGCGCCCGGATCGCAGTGTGGTTGGCGTCTGACGCCTCACTGCGCCAATGTGAGTTGAGCCTTATAGTAATGTGTTCAGAACTATAATGAAATATGTAATAAATAAATAGATAGTGTAATAAATAAATTTCAGTTCGGTACCGAGTACCATAGACATTTTGATTCAGAATTAAAAAGAGTGCCTTTATGATATGGTTTATGAAATTATAATTGATAGATTTAAAGTACAGGAGTAGTAGAAAAATTATATTATATTTTACATTTTTTTATTATTTTTATTATATTATAAGGTACATAAAAATAAAAGGTTAAAGACTGTAAAAAAACAATAGGTCAAGTTAAAATACGTAAAAAGCAGAGTAATTTAAGTAAAACGTAAAAAAAAAACAAAAATTTATATGCTTCTCTTTTGGAGATAGATTGTTAACGTTTATACATAGAATGTACATTTGCAATTGCCGAACTGTACGCTTGACTTATTAATGAATGAAATATTCTTTATTGCACATAAAAGTGCAGTGACAACACAAAACAGTTAATCACGTATAAAAATAGTTAATTAATGTGCATTATGCGTCCTCATAGCTATGTATCAATTTCTTTCAGGCAACCTTAGGATACAAATTTGACATATGGAAAAGGTGTGCAATCAGAGAATGTCATCATAAATACACTACATAACAAGTACTAATAAAAACATATACGTAGATAGATATATACATACAAAAAAACGTAAAAATAAATAAATAATATTATTAAATACTTGTATACTTTTGAAGAAAAAAGAAATGATCTTTGGGCACGATGTTTGAAGGAATCAAGAGAAGGGGATCGTTGAATAGATTCAGAAGGAATTCCACAGTCTGAAGATGAGAAGACGGTAAAAGAGTTGGAATAAAAGTTGGAGGTATAAGAGAGCTTGTCTAGTATGACAGTATAAGATGAGCGAAGAGGACGGCAGAGTGTAGAAGAGTGGAAAGTAGGGAAAGAATGTGAAGATCTCTACGCGCGAAATTGGGAGACATTGTCAAATTTACGAAGTCCGTAGACGAACCTTACAAACATATTTTGGAGCCGATACAATTTATTGAGCTTGGTGAATGATAAGCCGGGTAGCAAACATCTGTATAGTCTAGTATCTTATAATCAATTTCATAAGGGCATTTTCTTTTATATCTTTAATCTACGAAACCAATGTCAGCTTCAATAAAGTAACCAATCTTGACACAAAGAAAAATATAAAGTAAATGTTAATATCTAAATATTGAGATCTAAAATGGTATATTAACCGAATTGTGCATGCAAAACAACTTGACACTGTTATTTAGTACTCAAATTTAGTTTCTTAATTTTAACATATTATTTATTTGACTAGAAAAATTTCAATGAATAAATACGGTCGATATTTGTAACTGATGTAAGAAGTGCCTGAATCCAATGTCAGTGACATGGTAGCTACCCGAGTTGCAAGACCAGTTTGTATTAGAGGTGGCTGTAACGGTGACTGCGCGTAGTATGCAAGACTTAAGTTCTATGGTTCTAGGTTACGTAACATATTATCCTTACAAAATAAATGAAATATGATATTGTAAATTAAATTAAACTTAAAAACTTAAAAGTTACATTTCGCAATGAATAAAATTGACCCATTACCACGTTTAAATTACTGAGTTATTAAATCTGCGTAAATTACTTCACAATTTTGTACGCCCTAGCGGTCACAAGAAGAAACAACATTGTGTATACAAACATTTTACGCGGTCCCTAGCGATAACTGTCATTGTAGTCTCAAGTGAAATTAAAATCTAGAAAAGAAAATTAAGATCGCTAAAAAAAATGGTAGACGCACTGATGTCACAAAAAATGGCAACTACCTATTCTTAAATCTCTCCACCGCATATGATACTCAAGTTGAATGATTAACGATGGAAGTTTTGCTTGAACATAATTTAATAAGCAATTTTTTTTTTTAGTAGATTTTGTTTAGTATATCTCAGGAATTTTATATGATACCAAGCAACGGGACAAACAAGTCGTGCGCCTGATGATAAGCAACACGTCTACCCGTAACAGTTGCAGTGCCATCCAGAACTTTAAATCGCAAAGATATCGCATAGGGGTAGTGCCCCTAAGATCTTTGCGATTTTAATCTTCGCGACTACATCCGTCATATGACACGTCACCCTGATATATTATGTGAGCATTACTGTTTGGCGATAGAAATAGGAGCTCTACAGTTACTAAAATCTAATTCGTCTGGCACGATATGCTTGAAGACGCATATTCGAATCCAGCCGGATCGAAGAAACCTTTTCTGAGTGTTCGTGTTCGATCTTTGTATTAATAATTGTACTAAAATCTAGTTTGTACGTTACAAAATTTAATAACATAAATCTAATTATGCTACATACAATTTCGTTAGAAATATACACTTCAATTACGTTCCACGTTAATGTAAATTGAACCTTACTACAATAAAGGACGTAATTTATAAATTTGACATAAATAAATGGTTTATACAAAAACATAGATATTGGAATTCGGAATCGAACTACGTAAATAAAATTATAATTGACCCATGTCGAACTATCACCGCGTTTAAATTAGTTTACGTTTTATTAAATCCATGTGCGCACGGCCATGTGATACTATTGGAAAAACATGTATGTTTTTTTGTGTATGGTTTAGTCTCTTGAAGTCATGTTGAAATGCGTAATACACATGTGAATAAATGATTGTATGCCTAACGTTTCGCCGGATACAGTGAAACTAGAAGTAGTAGAGCTCCTTCTGAAAGAGTTGCCCAGGGAAGTACTGCCACTTTACTTATTTCTACCGCCAGGCACTAATGTGAGCATTACTGCGTTCCGGTTTAGAAGGGTGCTGGTGAAATTACAGGTACATGGGACTTGTCAACATTATGTTTGAGCGTGACGGGCGCAGCGTTGGTGCCCGTCAGATCTTTGCATTTTAAAGTCCTGGGTGAAACTGCAACTATTATAGACAGACGTGTCGCTTTCCACTAGGCGCACGATTTGTTCGTCTCTAGTTATCATAAAAAAAAGTGTCAACTTCCATGTACCCCGAGTTTTCACAAATAAATGAATTATGAATTATTTTCGTTCAAAAATCTAAGTTAAATCCTTTCATGTTGAAGTGGATTGAATGTCCCCAATTTATAAGCACCAAATCACAAACTCTACATCGAGGTTTATCGTCCCGAGCCACCGCTCTGCACCGTGAACAGGTGTAGAATCCGTTACTTCGAACGAGTTTCGAATCGACTCGTTTCATCGATTACGTACAACTCGTATCCGCAAAGATTTAAGATCAATGTGAAGGAATCTTGAGGATTGTTTCGGGAGCGTGTTTTTCTGCTAAATACACGGTGCTAAAAAATTAGGTATTGATTCTTTTATTTTTTAGAGCCAACTACTAAATTAATTATAATTATGTGATTTCCTTGCTGTGAGCTTGTGTAACTTTTTGTTATTGTAAATTGTGTTATAGCTTGATAATTTATATTAATGTTAGAGTTACGTTTCATTTAATTTTAACTTTTGTAAGTACCTAATAGATAAACGAAAAAAAATTACATTGAAGTAATAATTAAAATCGCGATATCTATGTTAGAGATAAAAAAAAACAACTTAAATACTAAACACACCAGTGTTAACAATACTGTTTAGTGTCATATTTCTTCATTTCCTTCTAAATGCACGTGTGATGATTAGGTTTGGATATTATTAATAACATATTTTTTATTTGTAGGCGTTCACCTCGAACGTAAATCAACACTATTGTTATCTTTTGTCTGTTTTAATTTTTTTTGTGTGTATTAAAGAGTATTTTTATTCTATTTTGAAAATTGCATGAAAAGTCTTTGATTGCTATTTTAAATTGATAATTGTGATGAAAACTGGCGACTCTAAAAATTGTCCTACCTAATTCATTAGCACCTTATATAGTGTGTAATCGCCGCAGCTAGAGTATGAATAGTCAAAATTCTTTGTTGAAAATTGTACAAACAGTCGAATAATATGTTTGCATATGTTTGTACCTGTGGATATAATATATAAATTACTATGAACTAAAAAATAATATGACCGTGGCGTTTATTATACACAAACATTTTTAAAAGACTACGCCAAATACACTTTAGAAATAGCAATGTAAAATGTTAAACCAAACAAAACACATAGTCGTGTCGCAAATAAGAGGTATAATATATTTCACAAAGTTTCTCGGATTTCTCAGCCGCTAATTGGCCAGAAGGTTTCGTTAGGGCAATATTTGCGGCTTAACAATGATACAAAAACATTTTCCTACGTAACTTCGGCTTGAAACAAATATCTTGAATGTATAGCACCTACAGCAAGGACTAAAATGGGTTAAACACTCTCCTTATATATTGCACTATATTTGGGCTTATGATGATATCAACGACGATGTAGTGATGTGAGTTTATGGAGGCAAATTTAAAATTTAGTATCAGTAGAGCGCCTTATGAAAGAGTTAGTCCAATGAATTTTTTTATGATATCTAGTGACGGGACGAACAATAACGTGCGCCTGGTGGTTAGCTACACGCCTGTCTGTAACAGTTGTAGTGACACTCATAGCTTTAAATCGCAAACATCTGAGGGGCACTGCCACTGCGCCCGTCACCCTGAGATATAAGTTGACAAGTTCCATGAAGTTTCACCAGCACCCTTACCCTTCAAAACCGGAATACAGTAATCATGACATTACTGCTTGGCGGCATGAACAGGTATGGTGGCAGTACTACCCTGAACAACTCTTTCACAAGGAGCTTTTCTGCTACTACTGTACTGCCTTACCTATTTCTGCCGCCATTTTGGTGGTCATACATCGTGACATTCAATGAACTTAAAACGCCTTGTGCACTTAATTTATGTACTTATGTTTCAATATGGTTACAATTAATTAATACATGTTTATCCGTTATTTTCAGGTCAAACAAGTACCTGCAGAAGTCTGCAATCACGAGGGTGTGCGCGGTCGGAGGTTTTTTTATATCAATACCAGTATTTTTAACAGGTACGGTGAAATACTTAAATATTAAGCAATCTGTTTTTGAAATCAAAATCTGTGTTGAAAATTACACATAACATATTATTTTGCGGTTTACCGAAATATTGTGACAGCATGTATAGTATGAATTGTCAAGTCTTTTAATATATCGAGTTTTTAGGTTTTCGCGATTGTTACACATATGAAATGAAACTATTTTTCCGGATTTAAATCGCGTATATTTGTTTATTCAAACTAGCTGACGTTTCGGGCCCTTTACAGGTCCCATGGTCACGGTTGTCTGAGGCGGTCATCAACCAGTTATGTCTAATATATTGCAAACCACCCAATTTTTTCACTATAGTTACAAAGAAACATTCCAATTTACGCTACATTGTTTTACAAATTATTTTATTGTAACAATATGAATGTTTATTAAATTAAAATTATTATTAATTAACAATGGAAATTAGAATAAATTAAAACAACCTGTATAGGGCCCGAAGCGTCGTCGGTTTGTTTGAAAAACAAATATACGTGACTTAAATCCGGAAAAATAGTTTCATATCCTTAGGGAGCATTAATTCGACACGAATTTCAACACGCTCACTCCGCGCGGTCGCCGAACGGAGTCCGCGTTGCTGCCGCGCAGTGACCGCGTGCGTCTTACTGTCATGGCAAAATACGCTCTATTTGTTTAGCTTTTACGTTTTAATTTAAATGAGCGTTTCGGGTACGCAAGCCTGGCTAGAATTTGGTCTACGTGGCGGCCCGCGCGGTAATTTTATTGAGAGAAATTTAAATGTTGTTGCATAATAAATAGGATTCAGATTCGCCATTAATGTGCATGAGGGCATGGTAACTGTGCGGTCGACGCGCGGCGGCCGCGCGCAAAACTTTCTTCTCGTGTAACTGGGCGTTAAGTCTTTTAACAGTAAAGGGAAATATCGTGAAGAAATCCTCATGGATTCGGTATTCACTTCGCTAAAGGTTTCCAATACTCAGATTACAAAAATCTGAGATCCAATATAACTCAACCTTAGTGCACACGAAATCAAATACTGTCGTAACTCAAAATTGTCAACTTGAGAGGACGCCTTAATAAAAAAAAACCGAATGAAACCAATACATATAAACTCGTTTATAAATGGACAATTAAGTATTATGTATAAATAAAAATAATCACATTAATCCCAATAAGATCCAATCAGTATTTTTTTTAATTTTCAAATTGCTTTCTCAATTCCACAATTTTGAGTTACGACAGTATTTGCTTTCATGTGCGTTAGTTACGACATAAATGACAGCCAGCGTGTTTTAAAAATGTTATTAAAATGTTTCATTCCCTTCTATTTCAGGGATAATACTGTACACATTCATCCAATTCCATTCAACGCCTGCGATAATCACCTCAGTATTTATCGGAGTGGGCATAATCTTCTGCGGCTGCGCAATGGTCCACAACGTCTTCGTATGGCAGAAAGAAAAAACCAACTTAGTCAAAGCATTTAGAAGTGACATAAACAACACGACAACGCCTTTAAACACATCGAATGGAGTCCTACTGAGCAACGGACATATAAATAATAATTTAGGTGGAAATATGAGCTTTCATAGCATGGGGACCGGGCCTTACACTCATCCTATCACGTTGTTACAGCAGGGTGGACCTTATATTATTAGGTGAGCAATGGAAGTGAGTTTTTGTAACGGAATTGTACACAGTATAATTAACTTAATCTCAATTGTGTAATGTACAAACTAGATACGATACGGTACATGTGGGAATTCTCGAGACCAACCAAACCATCCTGTCATTGTAATTCTATTCAGACTCCACTGACGTTATATTGCAATTATTTGTTATTCTGCGAAAATTTAGTTGCAATGGCAGTTGGATATCAATAAAGTGCCAGTAGAATGGCAGTGATGACATTAATTCATTCAATTACTAACGATCGATGTTGGCTTACTAGAACTACAATGGAAATTAATTACTATACAGTAATACACCGCTTCACGCGAGGGATGCGTTCCGGACAAAATCGCGTTAAGCGAAATTCGCGTAAAACGATGTTGTTCTTTTTTTGTATGGCCGGCCTGGTGCTATGCTATTGTTTTTTGGTCGCCTTAAGGTCTTTAACTTGACCTAGTGATAGAACGGGTTGTGATAAAATAAAAAGCTAAATATTGTATCGAAAGTGCTATTTGAACGAGCCCATCTTTGTTATAGTTATTAATATAAAGATCGAACACTCAGAAAAAATACCTTCGATCAGACCGGATTCGAAACGACGTCTTCTAGCATACCATGCCAGACGTTATACCAACTAAGCCACGGAACGAACCAGCGGACCTCACGAATGTTTTTGTGCTTGCGTCGTATCTTTGTATTTGGTTTTTCAACGACTGTTTAGCCGTAGCGCCATCTAATGAGAAATCTATGATATTTCGTCACTCAGTTCGATACCTTTACAGCTACCAGCCCCGGCTAGAGATGTCGATATTCACTGTATTTAAATTTTTATTGAATTTATATTCAATTGTTTTTATGTGAAATTACTCCACTAGTTTGTTATAGTTATTAACACAAAGATCAAAACACTCAGAAAAAATCTTTCGAACCGGGGCTAAGTTGGTATAGCGTCTGGCACGGTATGCTAGAAGACGTCTGTTGGAATCCGGCCGGATCGAAGGAATTTCTTGTAAGTGTTCGATATTTGTATAAATAACTATGACAAACTAGTGAAGTAATTTTACATAAAAAGAATTGATTATCAATTCAATAAAAATTTGAATCCATCTTTTCTAAAACTTTCATCTTCGTCTCCAAACTCAAGCTCTCACGCTCTTCTTTCTGAGCCAGTGGCACACCCCGGACAGTTCATACAACGGTCGAAAATAATTTACCTACTACTACTACATACAGCAAGGCGCTATCTGCATACGCGCAAATGTGTGCGTAAAGTGGCAATCAGCGAGGTGTAGCGGAGAAACACTCGGCCGCGACGCTGCAGGGTTACCCATCACTTTCATGCACTATTACGTTACGTGGTCGGAGCGGCAAAATAGCGAAAATTGTAACGCGAATCTGTTATCTATGATTCTATTAATAGAATCTTAATAATTATACTTGTCTGTTAGGCATTTATATCGATATATTGTTATATTTTTCATTAATTCACTAACTAGAGTAATATTGAAGCTTTATTTCAAAAATATATTAAAAGCACTTAAAATGTTATATTTTTTAAGTAAGGTAACCAAGATATTTGAAATTGCTTGTCCAAGTTTAGTTAATAATTAGATATATTCACTACCTACGTAATATTTATCGGCAATACGAATAGAAAATTCGCGAAGTCATGGCGTCTCATTATATTGATATAATAATTCTGTATTTTTTATACTCGTACATACATACATTACTCTGCAGAAATAAAAGAAGAAAACAATAACTGAATGAGTCTCAGACACGAGTTTTTTTTACTTACTTTGTTTCATCTTTCGGAAAATGATGATAAACAGCCGTACACAGCACAATTCACGACCATTATAAATAATAACCTAAAATGATGTTTTATGTTAACGTACAAGTTTCGTAATGAATACATGAAAACTACATTCAAATACCAAAGCCGTCTTCGCGCGAAAACGGCTCACCGGCAGCCTTGTTGTCGTTCAGTCAATGTGACCGGCAATGTGCGGGGCGTGTTGCGGTATCTAAAACTAGGGAGGGGCGTCCGTGCTCTTATTCTTTATTCTCTGTCGGTGGCGTCATTGTTCGCAAAAAATATCTTTTACAATTTACTGATAGTACCAATTTGATTACAAATTAAAGGACCTACCAAGAAAGAACTACCTCTGACAATGCACTTTTAGTAACTGAGAAGCTACGGGTTCAAATTGGTTAAATCAATGCAACCGTTTAAAGCGGGGTAATTAAGCGCGAATATTAAAAATCGCGCAAAGCGGGATATTACTGTACATAATTTTAATCTATAACGTAAAAAAAACGCGTTTAAAAAGTAATTCGATAGCTAGCCGCTGACGTTAAAAATTTTGCCACCGACATTTTATTAACACACAACTGTGTTGGTATAAAATTAGCAGACTTAGGGGCCCTATAGATTTTATCCTCGCAAATTTATTTTTATTAAAACCAAGTGGGATGAACAAGTCGTGCGCCTGGCGGTAAGCGACACGCATTGAGTATGTAACTAGAAATAGAGACGAAATCGTCCATCCCTGGCAACTCATTAGGCAAATGCCCCTTATATCGCTTTTAAATATCAACTCTCGTTTGCGCTGAAATCACACATTAGAAAGCTGAAATAGTACAGCGCCAACAACCCTGCGTGTGAGCGTCCGTATATTCCAAAAATATAAAAACAGCAAAACATCTAATTACAAAACAAACGGAATCACGTTTCATCGGTAATTAAATATGTAATTTTTCCACTTTCGTCTATTATCGCAATGCTCAAGATAAACTAGTCGATTTGAAGTGGAACAATTGAAGACAATTTTTTTTGAAAATTGATTTCAAATTTATCATGAGCTTTTCGGTGAAGGAAAACATCGTGTTGAAACTGCACGTTGAAGAAGGTTCACAATCCTCGAAGAACGTGTGAAGTCCCCAACTCGCATTGGGCCAGCGTGGCGGACTATGGCCTAAACCCTCGTCTGAAAGGAGACCGGTGCCCAGCAGTGGGACATATAAATGAGTTGATGATGATGATGATGAATTGACGACACCCGACAACTGTTTCGAATTCTCTCTATTTCTGGTTACATACTCGATGGTGCCAGACAAGCGCACCAACTGCCGTCTCAAACTAGGAAATTCCCTGTAGGTATTATTAGTATCAGAGCAACGGATTTTACTCGTGAGACACTTCTCAGAACCCCCAGACCAATTTAGAAAAGTTATTTTCCTAAATTTATCCTACAGAGAATCGAACCCAGCACCTCTGCATCCCGTGTAAACTGTTAGGCCACCAAGGGGTACTCCGGGTCATATACCAGAACTCTACTCAATGCTCAAGTCAGGACTTGAGTATGATTTAGCACTGGAAATCCGATCCTAATGGCAAGTACTTGAGTATTATTTTCAGTGCTTTAAATCATACTCAAGTCCTGACTTGAGCATTGAGTAGAGTTCTGGAATACGACCCCAAAGTAGTCAAATAGTTGGATGTAAGTATTGTTTATGATTGTCAAGTGACGGGAAGAACATTCTTTTTGTTTTGACGTTTTGCTTGTTGTTTTTTAATCATTCCGGTATTTTCAACTCGGTGGGTATTTTAGAGTGACGCATGTATCCATTCTTTTTTCACTCACTTTATCACTGTTTTTCCCGATGTCTGGCACATATCATTATTTTTCATCAACGTATTTGTTACTTATTTCAAGCATAACGAAAGAATTTGCTAGGATACTTTTAAACTGCGCTTGTAGAAATAAAAAAATCGGCACTAGAGAGGAAAATGTCACTGTTTTTTGTTACGACTTCGTATTCAATTATGATCTAAAATGAGTACTCCTTAATTTCTTCATTCTGCCCTAATATTTCAATGTGTCTTTTCCAGGCCCCCAACTAGCACCCCTCCAGGTGAAGGCGCGGTGACCCCAGGCGTGCCTCCAGCAACGATAGACCTGAGTCATGACACGCACGAGCTCAGCACCCTGGTCTGATCCGCGACGTGACGCGACCAACGGTCTGACACACAACGAGAAACAGATAAATAGTCAATTTTCCATATAGCAAATCTAAACCTTGTGTCAATGACGTAAGGTTTACTTTTAAATGGAAAATTATGACACTAGTGGCCCACCCTTCATAAGTCTGACACACCACGTGTCTCGACGAAACTTCATCAATGAACTTAAACGAAAATCCATAGACAACGACGAAACTCCAAAGGACAATGTGAATTAATAAACTATGGTGTGACAACTGATAAATATTAAGTGTAATGCGGGAAGTGGACGTATTTGAGACATAAAACAACCTTAGCCAGGAATTATTACGATGTTATTTTGGTATACGGCCCAGAACGATATTCTGTAGGTAAAGTTTCCGTATTTTTTTAAAAGCATTTTTGTTTTTGGCGCAAAGCTCTAAAGGCCCGTAGCCGACATTTTTTTGTGTTATGGCTATAGAGGACGGCCAAGTTTCATTGTTAGTCAACTTATGTGTTGGTATATTTGTTCGTGTGAGCTGTTTTTGGAAAAACGGTTTAGCGCAAACCGCGTCCGTGACACGCGTAGATTTACACTGATCCTTAGTGAAAGCGAACAGTAAATCTATGATGTATCGCGCTAAGAATTCATGAGCATAATGTAAACACACCTCTGTCAATGGTGTTTGAAAAAAACCATTCTCAGTAAACTCATATTGTATAACATAATTTTCCACTTGTTTCTGTTCAATCTATTGTAATGAGGGGAGATTTTATAACATCTTACGTGTTTCAATCTTCTCTGCTAGTCATGTATTGAATTTAATTTGAAAACATGATTGTCTTCAAGAGATTCGTATTAATATAATTCTGATTGCGTATTTATACGTGTGTTTTGCCTCAAAGTCCGTCACGTATCTATCATATTTAGTACTTAAATAAAATCTACAAACAACCACACGACGCACTGTACACTGCCGTGTGCCAACTTACACTGGACGTGTATAGCTGTGACCGTGCGTGAACTGCAATAGTCAACTTGTCGTCTAGATATTTCCATAACAACTTTTCCTTCATCAACATGAAGTTTATGAAAAGATATCTTAAATAAGTTAATTTTACTGTTATTTCTTTATAGTTATTTTGTTTTATTTTCTATATAAACACCAGAAAAAACTATAATGATGAGCGACATGAGTTAATTGTGCATCTGGTTAGTTCATTGTGGATTAGTATAACTTTTATTTATTCACCTGAGATCGCGTTCTGAACGGTAATGACTTTGCTGCATATTTGCAAGTCCTTTGTGTACGGGGTTGGGCAAATGTGCTGTCTTAATAAATTAAAAAATACTTTATTGAAAACATAAAATTCGGTATTTTGACATTTTTAAATATAAATTATAATAAAATCATTCCCAGTCACCTACATATTGCCCAGGCTTGGTTACGCAAAGTCCTGTAGATTTCTAATATAACAAAATTAAGGAGAACGCACATTAGGCGTCACTGTACACGCTGCTTACGATATTTTATCGAAGTTATCGCTAACAGAAAGTAAATGATGACGCTCCCGTAGGGTGTACTGTATTTGTTACCACCAAGCTCATAAAATTTTCATTATATGTGTTAAATAGGCAAAACAAATTAAATGTTAACCACCATGAAAACAATGAGCAATGAGCAGAGAGAATAAAGGAATACACATGTAGTGGATAGTAAATCTCTCTGAAACCTTTCTTTATATTTATGATGTATATTGCTACATTGTTTCGATTTATTTGCTTTTTACTTTTAATCATTCCGGTATTTCAGAAGGAGGTATTTATCAACTCTTTGTGCATTAGTTGAAATTTAGGTAAATATAACTAACCTATTCTCTCCGGTAATGACATAGGCTGTAACCACGTGAAGTGTCATTATAAGACCATCTGTAAAACAGTTAGGACGTAGTAGGTAAGACCCACCACAAAATACACAGACTAATGTGTGTTAACCTTCAGTTTATTTTATTTGTCTTTCATAAAGGTTTTTGTTCATAGTGTATATTTATATAATTTTTTTCACGATCATTGCTTTGTTTGTATATTATGGAATAGTAATAATGTTTTGATATCCAAGTGTGTTTTGACATGTGTAGATTTTATAACTATGGAATAGAGCCTGATTTAAAATTTGTAAAGAAAACAAATTAGAACGTAATTAGTTTTCTTACAACTTGCTTGTTAACTTGCACATGCCACTCACAGGTGAAAACGCGTCTATAGTGTTTATTTTAAGTTAGAATCAAGAGAAACAAAAGAAATTCAGTAAAATTATTTATTGAAAAATGTATTTTCCCATTTTTATACCGTTTTTCACTATGCTATAGAAAAACGAGCGAATTACATACTTCATAATTATTTATTATACAGTTTAAAACATGCCATATTTCATGATTTATATTACTTTATAAAGAATAAAGCGTAAAACCTACTTTGACATTTTTTAAGCACTAATTTTGGGATTATTCACTCTACACTGTGTTGGATAAAATCAAGACTCCGCAGTTACAAGGTCAAAAAATACCACATAATATTTTATTTAAACATCTCGGTCAATTCTTGGTTTGTTATTAATTGGTGGAGCTACTGCGAAGTCTGGGCTCTAGTTTAATACAGCGTCGCGTGATATGTAAACTGTCTTTGCAACTGTTCTTTAGACTTTCTTCAAAAGAAAATTAAGTTTCTTTTAAGGTTTGTTTTAGAACTAAGAAACGTGAAATTGGCCTATGCATCTACTAGTAAAAAACATTTACAAATTTTAAATTACTAACGGCGCGGTCCCGTTCGCAAATAACTTGCATGCAAGCGGGAAGGGCAAGTGAAGCAAACAATTTTTACTCTGAAATTAATATCCCATGCAGGTTACTTGCAAATGTAAACGCACCTCAATCTTAGTTTAAAAAACAAATACCCACCAATCAGAGACCATTACGTAGCATTAAAAAAAATCGAGAATGTATATTTTGTACATAGTTTCTATTCAGAATCTGGAGGCATAATTTATTTTTTTTTATTTTAAAAAACAAAATACAGCATTTTCTATTTTTATTTGTAGTTTTATGTGAAATAAAAATAAAAGTTATTTAAAAGTACTGTCTATTTGTTACGTACTCTAGTCAGCGACTGGATTTGTTCCGGACTTCTTTAGACCTGTGAAAAATATGATAAACTGTTATTTTATACATCATTACCTACCACCAACCCATTTATACGTCCCACTGCTAAGTACGGGTCTTCTCTATGAAATACAATCACGTGATATTGTTTAATCACTTTTCAACTACGTAAGGAGCCTCTGTTACAAAGCGTAACGCTTCCCATATAAGGAGCTCCACCGACCGAGCGCAGCGTCATTGTTGTATGGAAATCGTGCTGAAAGTGAAACTCTAAAGTATGTTACTATTAAAATTAAAATAGTATCAACATGATCCTCTTAGGACACCACAGTTAAAATACATATTTATAATTTAAAAAATAAAAGATCATAATAGAAAACTTATTTTAAAGAAAAATTAATAAATTAAAAATTATAATAGCAAAACAACGAGAGACGAATGTCATATGACGAGAAGAGTGTTCGGTACGACTGTGGAAGGATATAAGGGGCGAGGAAGGCCAAAGAAAAGATGGATGGATTTTGTGTAAAAGATGACATCGATAAGAAAGGTGTGGGTATCGAAATGACGACGGAGGAAGAAAAACACACGTTGCGCCGAACCCACCTACCGACCGCTAAGGACGCGAAGAAGAAGAATAATAGCAAAAATTATAACATAACGTAATGGCTTTTGCTGCAGTAGGTACAACGGGAGAAAGTTGATATAGTCTGTGTCAGTAATACTGTTTCAGGCTATAGTAACATTTTTCTATCAAATGAGCCTTTATTTGTTTGGTGAATAAATTATATTGGGTTGAGGTGATATCCTTTCGCATTCTATTGTCAATTTTAATACTGCTCGGTGGGTAAGTGTGGCAAAACTACAGTCTGCCAGTAATAGTTTGACAGTCTAAGTTAGTTTGTACTTTACGCAGAAACGCTATGAGGAAGGTGTTTCTGTTTCACTTCAAAACACGGCGACAAACATGCTATTTGAGATAACGACAGCGGTACAATTGCCGCTTGATGGATCTTGCCCCATTGCACTGGAGGCAATATTTGAACAATAGTATACAGCTTGATGTGCCTTAGCTTAGACTGTACTATAGCACCATAATGAAGGCTACAATGTTTAAGCATGAGTAGTATTGGGTAATTATCCAAAAAGATTTAAACGGTGGAAATTTTTCAAATTTTTTTTCAGAAAACGGCAAAAATATAAGGGAAAAATTGGAATTTTTTTTCTGAAAATTTTTTCTTGTTCTATACATATCGCCCTTGGCAACTAACATAGTATTATCTCAAAAATTGCGTTGCATTATATATTTAATCTTAAACTACGTTATATTAATAAATTATCTCCAAAATTTCGATATATTAATATGTCATTCATATACGATTTAATTTCAAAGTCACAGGACGACACTGTCGCTTTGAAACTAAATAGGTAATATTAATATAATTTAGAGCCATTTTAAGATAATACTATGTGAGTTGTCAAGTGCGATATATTTTTTCATGACCAAACACTAAGCATGACTATCTTATCATGTACACATTACTGAAGCATTGGCACTTTAGTATGGACGGTATGCAGTTGACAAGTGGGTTACCATCCTTAGTATCTTATTTTGAACTAAGCAGTAGAGCTCCTTGTTAAAGAGTTCGTCCAGGGAAGTACTGCCTTATCTATTTCTGCAGCCAAGTAGTAAAGTCTGAGCATTACTGCGTTCCGGTTTGGAACTTGTCAACTTATGTGTCAGGGTGACGGGCGCAGTAGCAGTGCCACTTTGCGATTTAAAGCACTGAGTGGCTCTGCAACTGTTATGGAGGGGTGTGTCACTTACCACCAGGTGCAAGACTTATTAAAAAAAGCTACCACTTAGAACTTTAGTTACTACTTACATTTTACTTGGATACTTGTTTATGGGTTGGTACAGTAATACTTTGTTACCACTCACCGCTTAAGTCCCTGATAAAGACCTGCGTAATAACCGCTCATGTACCAGCTGAGCAGCATGGAAGACATGGCTTGTTCCTCGGTGTCGATTCGACTCGCGGGGAAGGCCAACGGCGGCGGAGGTGGGACCGGCATGTCGCCGTTCAGACCGAGCTGGGCAGAAGAAACATCTTCTTTGAGACATTGGAAAAGGTTTTATATATAGTTTCGTCCATTATACTTCTAAGGTCATTCACCTGCAGAATTGTATTTTTTTTTATAATACTTTCAAATTTCATGGATATAGTCGAGGAACAAGAAGTTCCGCTCGTTTCGCTCGGTGCGTTTCGGTAATAGATAGATAATAAGTTTACAAGTTGACTAAAACAAGTGTGGCGTTAGAACATCGTTTTACAGTGACGCGGATTGCTCCGTACGGAACACGGTCCGACTCTGAACTCCGCACAAGCCACTCGTGCGTTCATTATAGGCGACTACCTTCCGTGAGTATCCGCACTCAATTAAAAACTCAATTCAAAGCGCTGCGGATTCTACGCATGTGGACGGCCCGCGGGCGGACAGTCTGTACGGACCGTACGCACAGCTGTGAAACCAGCCTAAAACATTTATTAAAAAATTGTGACACATGTATTTAAATGCCAGTATCAAGTGACGGGACAAACAAGTCGTGCAGCAAGTAAACGGAAACGGCACGCCTGGTCATAGCAGTTGCAGTGCTACTCAGAGCTTTAAATCGCAAAGATCTGTGTGGCACAGCCACTGCATCCGCCACCCTGAGAACAAGTTGACAAATCCCATGTGCCTGTAATTACACCAGCACCTTTACCCTTCAAAACCGGAACACAGTAATGCTGACATTACTGCTTGGCGGCTGTACTACTCTGGACGAACTCTTTCACAAGGAGCTCTAGTGCATCTACCTCAGGAATGACTCAGTTAAGGGGTAAGCCTGTACTGCATTTGACAAAGTTTATTTCGACTCACCCGTAGAACAAAGACCTATGCGCAAGACTGCTCATTCTCAGGACATTGTACATTTCGTTCGCTGTTCTTAGCTGTGGATATTAGATCGACTGTTGATCGATTTTATATTTCCGAAACGAAATAATACATAAAATTCTGACAACACCTATAGCTAGGCCTTATTGTGAATAACGAGATGATGTATTTATCCTCTTTTCGTTGTATAATCACATCGGGCTCTGTTCTTCGGATTTCAATATAGCACGAGAATATTGTGATGAATCTTATTTTTAACAGACTTTAAAACAAGGAGGAGGTTCTCAATTCGACTGAACATTGTTTTGTATGTATATTACGCGATAACTCGTGAACCAATTTTTGATTCTTTTTTTGTTGGAAAAAGGGCACCTTAGTATTGGTCCCATTGAAATTTAAAAAAGAAAATATTCCACCTCTAAGGGTGGCAAACTAGGGGATGAATCCGGTTTAGCGCACATATCCGATAACCAATTTCAATAAAACTTGGCAAATAGATGAATTCCACGAACTTTTGAGGTCGAATTTGTAATACTCTAAGATTATTTCTAATAATATTTACAACCTGTAGGTACAACTTAATAATAGCAGCAGAGCTCCTTGTGAAAGACCTTACCTATTTCTGCCGCCAAGCAGTAATATGAGTCGCTTACCACCGTGTGCACGACTAGTTCGTTCCGTCATTTCGTATCATAAATAATAATATGTATATAATTTTTTTTTTATTTATTTATTTGTGTTCAGGTTACAAAGACCCATAAATACATACCTTATAAACTAACATGAATAATAATACAAAAAAAAACGTATAATACATACCTTAAGGAGTAACATACATTCAATATAATAAAACACTATTTCTAACTAATCTATACAAATTGCACTCGTAGGCAACGTGTGGCGCAATCTGGTGTCAAGTAACCGGTCGCTGTTTCGCCGATACATGACACCCTTCGGCCAAAACTCTTCCTTCACGAAGGTCGATAGAAGTTCGGTCGGCCCTCTCACCACAAACGAATTAAAATTTACGTTGTGGCGGGACTCCAACCGCTCGACCCTCAGGGTGTATTTGGCTTTATGTCTAATGTACTCCACTATCTCCTCAAACTTCGTGGAGTAATGCAATCGTGACAGGTACAGCAGCGTCATCGGTATGGCCGGACGCAGCGGGAAGTTCGGTCCTGTCGGTGCTGTGCCACACTGGTTACGGCTGGTGAGCTTCCTCTTCACCATCTTTGTGAAGCCGTCCTCATCGGACCAGGCCGTCTGCCTCTGTGGTGTTGCAACTTCAGAGACAGGCTCAAGGGGATTGTATTTGCTCTTAGTCGATTGCCGCCGCTCGAGTTTCGAGACTCGACGCTCCTGGTGGATGCATTTTGCGCCCCACGTCACGTGTTTATATTAGAAGCTTCTGGTGAGCTACATACCGTAGCAGCGTTGTTTAATAACGCAACTTGGGCACGCAGCTCACTTATGATGTTATCTGAAGCCTCCAATTTAAACTGCAACTCGGCCATGCTTGACTTTAGGGAAATAATGTCCTTCAGCAGCCTGGTGACATCGACGTTATCGAACGAGACTGGAGACAGTTTGTGCAGCTCCTTCGCCACGAATGTAGGCACGTCGTCCGGGTCAGTCTCCTTCAGGAGTGTGATAATATCCTATAAGACTCTTCACGCCTTCATCCCTTCGGCGAGATGGCATCTTCTCAGTTTTGCCGAGGCTCTGGAACAGCAGCATTTTGCCACTGCAATCTCATTGTTGAAGTTACATTCACAAATCTGCACAATGCTGACTTCGTCTATGGTATCAATGGCGTGTTGGATAAACGCCAAAAGCTCATTGGCTATGAGTTGTTGGGAACTCATTACCACTTACGCGCAGCGGCCGCGCGAATCTCGAATTATAATAATAATTCTCACTGCGTAGTGAAGCGCGTCCGTTTCCGAACGTGCGCCGAACTGCGAATAATAAGTCCGAACGTAGGCATTGAAGCGCCTTTACATTTACATTACTTCTCTTATTACTAGACTGGAACATTTATGGACCGTGTTTTGTAACTGCGCAATTTGAAAATGTTTTATACGAATATATTGCTTGAAATCTATACAATGGTTATCGTGTATAGACCTAGAAATAGAGACGAAATGCCATTTAATTTGTTTCAAAACTATTCTGCCAAATCATTACGGTGACAACTGCGCTCCGTTTGGTCAGCCCGAATTCGAAACAATTGACAGACGTCGTCAATTGTTTCACTTTAAATCGACCAGTTTAACTTGAACTTTGCTATAATGGACGAAAATTGAAAAATTACATATTTTAAATGTGATTGCGTTTGTTTTGTAATTAGATGTTTTGCTGTTTTTCCCACACATGATGAATGGAACAGCCCCCCATAGTTAGAGATATTTTATCTTTATTACAATAAATACAGAATATTTTTAGAATATACGGAGACGTACACACCGGTCAGTTGTTGGCGCTGTACTATTTTAGTTTTCTAATTTGTGATTTCAGTGCAAACGACACGAGTAGATATTTAAAAGGATATAAAGCCTATTTGCCTGACGAGTTGCCAGAGATGGATGGCCCTTATTTCGTCTTTATTTCTGGTTATATACTCGATGACAATGGTTCTAGGGTTTAGAATTCTCGCGACAATAACCGATTTAAGGCAAAAACAAACTTACTTGCGACAACATGGGAATATGAGGCATTGGCACATCAGGGAATTTAAATCCATTGGTAAACTTGTCAGTTTTTTTCTTTTTTGGTAACTTCTTCCGCCGGTCACACGATGGCTCTGAAACTGTGAAGGCAGTATTTAGATTTATATATTAAAACAAAAAAGTATAATAATCAAAATTCGCATCCTTGGTTTAACTGCTTCTGTGGCCGAACTGTTATCATGGTGGTTCGCCATGCAGAGATCCCAGGATCGAGTCCTTGGCCGGGAGAAATATTTGTATGTATGTAGGCTACATTTATTACTCTCATGACTTTGGGTGTCATTTGTGGTTGTGTATGTGTGTCAATGGCACCCACGATACAGGGTATCCCTAGTGCGGGGCAATGAGTGTTGCGTTATAATAATAATAATAATAATAATAATAATAATAATAATAATAATAAAAAAAAAAAAAGTAAAAAAAAAAATTCGTATAATATTAAACGCCACCTACCAATACGTAAGGTGGTAGGTGCGTTTAATATTGTACGAATAGCATTTTTTTTGTTGATTTATTCATAACCCAAATAAGTACAAAAGAAACTTATATATCTGCTAAAATTCATCAATCTGCCGTGCAATTTGTTGGCGACATGTGTACTCTTCATTGTATCTAACATTTATTTTATAATAACAAATGATTATACTTAACTGGCTAAATAAAGAATTACTATGAGAGGTACTCTTTAAACTTACGTTTTAGTGAACGTTTACTTAATTTTTTATCATCTCTTAACTGATCTATGTCATTAGAAATCTTGGGAACTCAATATCGTGTTAATTTTTTTCCGTAATCGTTATTTGCTTTTACTTGCACTATTTTACAAACACTAAAGTTTTCATTATCGTAAACGGTTAATGTCGAGATCCAAAGTGGTCAGTTTTATATATTAATAAGAAGTGCAGAAAAAAATTGCAAAGCAAAATGAACTTTATGACAACGAATTGAAGGTTAACTTTGTACAGTAATTGAAAACAATTGTTCCGTACCTTGACATTATAAAAAAAAGTTAGCCTATTCGACAAATAATATGGCAAACACTAAACTCGCGTTGCCGTGCGCAGGTCGGTTTCTCGGTGCAAATATCCAAAAACGCAATAAACCTTCCACACTATGGTCATATTCATTATTTTATCTCCTTATTTGTCTCCATGTGTAGACGGTCATATTTGTCAGTGTTTGCATGATTGTCTGTACGACAAATATTTTTCCAAGCATGTAAAACACCCAATAGCGATTACAAGTAGCCATGTGAAGAGTCGCCACAAAAAAAAGTGAAAATTCCAGTACCTGTCATAGCTGGACTGGGTTCTCGATTATCGCTATCACTGTTCATTTTTTCACGCGAACCTGTTAAAATTCCACTATCCTCATTCTCGTAGTTGGCTTGGGCAATTTGCAAATCTTGCTTCTCCTTGCCCAGGGAAGGCGAGAGGCCGCTTATCGGGACTACTTCTGAATTGTTGTAGCCTGAAATTGGTCAACATGTCGTGATTAAATTAGGAAATTATTTAGTTCTGTTTAATTCAAGGTGCAAAATGATCAAGATATTATTATTATCCTTTACAAATATCATAATAATTATCTGATCATGACCATGATAAATATCTGATCATTATCCGTCAATAATTTTCTCTTAAATTTTGACTAAAAGTGACAAACAGTGAGAAAACTAAATAAGCACGAAGAAAAATATGTGGAGAAAAATCACAGACATATATCTAAATAGACACCGCAAGTATCGCGATCTGTATGAAAACCAAGCGTGTCATATTTTTTGTACCTCTGATGACGTCACAAGCGATATTTAGTGATGGAAAACTTTCTTCGGCACTTTAGTTTTAATTAGTAGCGATTCTAATCAATCGCTTTAGCTAAAGCGATTCTAATCAATCGCTTTAGCTAAAGCGATTGCTTGGAATCGAAGATCGATTGATTATTCAAATATTTGTTGGTTATAAGCCAAAAAATGTTAATATAGTAAAATATTACCATAATAAAATAATTAATTCCCTTATTAACACGTGTTTTGTAAAAAAAGTTGCTCCGGAAAACTAAAAAAAATTTACTAACTTGATAGAATATTTTTATAACATTTCCTGAGATCTTAAGAATTATCACCCTTTGTTTTCTAAATCGATCTGAATCGAGAACTGTGTTGCATCCAGTGAACAATATTAATCGCAAAATTTTACCAAAAATATGACAGAGCGGCCGTAATACAAAACTGAATGCAATATACGAAAGTATCGCTCTTTCGATATTGATGGTCTATTGATATTGGTCCTTCGACCACAAGGGTAACGCATCAAGTTAAAGCTGCAATGTATACGAATCACGCGGTATACACTCGCTTGCATCTTTGTTTTCTCAAAATTCATTCAAAATGAAAACAATTGATTTTAAAATAAATTATGCATATTCTGATTACAAAATTACATAACTGTTGAAGCAACATCCCCGTTTATTTATGTTCTTACAGCTGTGGTGTTTCCGCATGTTTCTAATAGCACAATTGGGTAATTTTCGCGTTTTTGACTGATGTTTAACTACGATAACGGCCGGGCGCGTTCTGAAGCGTAGCCGCGGCAACTATAGCCTATATTGGGCACGCGAAGTAGGTACACTTGCGGAGAAAATAGAGACGAAATATGAATTATTGAAAACTGCCAAATCATTACGGTGACAACTGCGTTTCGATTGGCCAGCCCGAATTTGAAACAATTCACGGGTATCGTCATTTATATATATCTATCGTGTTTCACTTCAAATCGACCAGTTTAACTTGCGCTTTGCTATAATGGACGAAAATTGAAAATTTACATATTTAATATTTAATTACCGATGAAATATGATTCCGTTTGTTTTGTAATTAGATGTTTTGCTGTTTTTCCCGCACCACCGAATGGAACAGCCCCATCTTTATTACAATAAATACAGAATATTATTTTTTAGTATATGGAGATGTAGACTTAGATCAGTTGTTGGCGCGGTACTATTTCAGCTTTCTAATTTGTGATTTCAGCGCAAACGAGAGTTGATATTTAAAAGTGATATAAGGCCCATTTGCCTGATGTGTTGTCAGGGATGGATAACCTGAATTTTTTAGATTGACATTTGCGACGTTTGAATATATCTCGGATACAATCATGTGGCACAACATTACTAGCGATAGCATAATTGTTGTTCCAAATGATTTTAGAAATATCTAGATTATTATCATTTCAACACTAGTTTAATTAGACTGCAGCTTGATTTAGGCACCAGATTTTCAACTCCTGCAATAGATACTGTAAAGTTATAACGGTATTAAAGATCTGAAGATGTGACTAGATACAATGCACTCCTTTTGCTATCAGGGTAGGCTGCGACCAACTAACTGGCTAAGGAAAAGATTCAGTGGACCACCAAGACCACACTGGCCAAGGTCAACTTGAGGACTGCACATGTCTTCAAAGTTTCGCTAACATTCTCTAACTAGCAGTTTTCAATCAGTGCTTTACAGCCACAGGCAAAAAAAGTGATTACTGGTGAAGTAAAACCAGATTGCATAATATTTATAATATTCTTACCAATAAATCGCACAAGGCACAATGTGTCATCAATTATCTTCTGCACCACAGCCTCATACTCCAAACCGTCTCCTTCATACACTGCCCTGCAAGGCATCTTGGGGCTCCAATGCTTCTTTTGCTTTTCTTGCTTAATTTTGCGGTCTGTAATACAAATATTAGATATTATTAACACAAGTGTTGAAGTGTTTGATGTATGTTATTACTCTGTTTAACTTTCTAAATAAATAACCAATAAATAAATTAAAATAAATAAATAAATTGCCATTAGTAATCTTATTGCATCTACATTTATCCTATTGCAGTTTTGTTAGGTTAGAAATCAGATCATCTAGATTTATTACACATGTAAAGAAACAAAAGTGCTAGACAAATCCTAATAAAAAACAGAATATCTTTGAAATTTATTCTTTCAACCAAAAATAGTCATCATAATCATTCAATTCATACATTTGTGTCAGATGTAATGATATAAGTCCACAAATAAAAATAAACTAGTTATTCTCGATGCTCTTTTAGCCTATAATGAGCATATTCGGGGCAACCAACGGGTCATCGTCCAGTGGGCCATCCGAGATATAGTTGCAAGGATGAATTAGCCAAAGATCTAAACGAACTGAATGTATACGAATGGTCAGAATCGTCACAAGATCGACAAAAATGGTGTACTTTGGTGTCGGAGGCTAAGATCCACTTTAGGTTGCTGAGCCAGTGAAGTAAGTTGTTCTTGCCAGTCATCTTCACAGTCTCAAATTCATTTAAGAGGCAATGTACATGCTTCTATAATAAGATTCCGGGTGATTCAAAATTAGCTATTTACAAGGTTTAAATCTATAGTGAAACAAAAACTTATTTAAAAATTTTAAAGGCAACTTCTTTGTATTTTCTGTATACTCGGATGACAAAATTCCATACTAGTGACCCATTTAGCTCTTTCAAGTATTCTCGATCAAAAATGTTTGAAATAAATATTGTAAATGACAAATATAATAAATGTATATTTACAAAAAGCAACCCCTAGAGTTTCTTGCTCATTCTTTTCAGGGGATTTAGCGGATGAATGAGTGGTTGAGTTTAATCAATATGATGGTTTTAAGTGTAACTTGCTTACCTATGAAATAAAGATGATTTGACTTTGATAACCAATTCATGTATGCAGTCCAACATTACTGTGACCAGCAATTTGGACTATTGTGACAACCATTCACTAAACTAACAGAATTAAAGAACTGCATGATTTTTCCTTTTTCTCCTAAGATTGTTGTATAGTTGTATAAGATATGTTGAGTGTGCGCGTTATTTATTTATTTATTTAGATTAAGGTACATGTCAGCCCAGGAGTTAGTAGCAGATTGGAGTGCAACATTAATAATAATAATGCACACACTCAACAAAGCCCCGCACTGTGTCACGGGTGCCATGGACACACATAGACAACCACAAATTACACCCAAACTCTGAGAAGTAGACTATACAAATATTTATATATATTCCCCTGGCCCGGGAATTGAACCAGGGACCTCTGCATGGCAGTCCATGGTAACCGTTCAGCCACCAAAGCAGTTTGGCTTAAAAGATGCATGTAGAAGTGGCTTATCGGCTGTGATGATCTTATAATTAATATAAAAACATCAATGCGTAGTATGGTTGTGGGTGGAACTTTTGAAATTGAGAAACTCCTTAATGATCGCTAAAATGTAAATTTAAACCTTGTTTAATCTGGCTATTAGTTGACATAGCCACACGTTGAGCTACGTCTACTGCATTGGCCAAGCGCATTGCTTTGTCGTAGGCTATTTTCAACTTGGAGTCATCCCATGGGTCGTCTTCAGCTTCCACCTCAGAATCTGACTGAAATTAAGGAAATAAAGAAATGCACTAACAATAACTTTGCACCATGTATAAGTTAGGAATTTGCTGCTGCAATACTGCAATTGATCAAAAAAGGCAACCAAAAGTTACAGGTAGTATTTAAGAAAATTGATAAAGATCATGGTTCAATAATAAGCTTTTAAGCTTCTATTGGTTAATAAAATGAAAAACAATCCACTGAAGTAAGTTCAATGCAAAATGCTTCTTTATTGTATTTGGTATTTTTCTTGACGTACATGCAAATTTTTCCAGTCTATTAGCGTAAAATGCTTGACTAAGATTTGTATACGGTGAGATTTGTTACATTTTATTACTATCAATAAAAGTAATGTTACCATTCCGTTCCCTTTAACGTATAACACCTCGCTCTTCGACATATTACTCAATTAGCACAAGTTACGTTTTCCTTACAAGATTAACGATTTTTTTATTTATTTTTGGCAGTCTAATATGTTACGGCACTTTTGAATTTTAATAAGCCTTGTTACATCCAACATTTACTAAATTTTAGGCTGAAATAATTTGTTTTTCTGCTTTGACAGAGTCACCCACCATTTTAATTGGTCCGTTATGTTTGTGTCAGTGTTTTTTTTTATTAACTTTCACCATTTGGGTAGGCAAAGGTTCCACCACACTGCCTCTTCACAAATTAGTATATTTTCATGTTTTGACGGGAAAAGCGACAAGCGCCTGTTCTTATTAATAAAATTGTTTGTTAACTGGCTGGGGATCGACAACAGAAGCGTTGGGCGTCTAGTTGCAGGGTGGGTCGACGCACATAATACGCGTTGCAACGTCGCAAGGCGTCAATGGATGCAGTTAGCACGGGAATGTGGTGGATGGCACAAAGTTCGGGAGGTCTATACCCAGCTGTGGGTGAAATCAGGCTGTGTATCATGATGACGATGAATTGTTTGTAGCCGACAACATCTATTCTGACGATGGTTAAGTGTCCATTCAGCCGCTTATATTTGATAATAATATACTCCTTGTTATCGCTTTCTTTTCAATATTTCATTAGTCTCTAATTTGTTAAACAAATAAGTAATGGAATTGATCAACTTTATGTGCTGCAGAATTCTGATTCCTTAGCCTTTGGCTTCAATGAAGCAGTTTCACTAATTCGCTAGAGGATGGAAAAAAAAATCAAAGTTAATCAAAGTGATTCATTGAAAATTAAATGACATTGACGTTGACGTTCGGAAGTGCTTGTGCATGTGCTGGACTGCTGGATTGCTTGGTGTGCATCTTGATGAGCTTGATAAAATAGAATAGAATTATTTAGCGGAAATCTTGATACCGTCATTAGGTAAAAAGACGAAGAAGAAACTGATGACAGTGAAATAATGTAAAAACTTAGTAAAAGGGCTTACTTGGTTTTATCGTGGACATAACAATAATTTGCCTGTGACAGGGAAATCATTGAATCGAAATAAAATCAGTAAGTGTCTTGCATTAGCGTCTTTTATTATCAAGATAATTGTATAATAGTTGTCAAATTGGACCTCTTATATTGTGAAGACAATAGTATGCAGTATGTTACTTTATCTCGCAAAACTTTGTTTCAGTGATTACTTTCTCTCTGAAATGAATTCAGCAGTAACCAACAGTCAAACGTTACTCAACGCTATTAAAGGTACTGTGAAAGAGGAGCATATGGATCGATATAGTCCTTCAAACATGAGTACTGACGAGAACAACTCTGCAGATAATTTACCAGAAATAGATTCCGTGAATAGGACAAAAAAGACCGAACATACACTATCACGACGGTCTTCAAACGATAGTAAGAGTGATGAAGGTTCTAATATTTCCTCAAAAGGATCTATGATTTTGTCAAATAAAGAAACTGTTGGAAAAATCGACATAAAAGCAGAAAAGGCGACAAGCAACAGAATATTAAAACGGAAAAAGAGAAAATTTGATTGGGAAGTAATAATCGTGAATGAAGATTTGGTTAATGATGAAAATGGCGAAGAAGAAATTGAAATGAAAGAATATAAATATAAATTGACAGTGTCAAATTTTCCAACTCATTGGGGTGAAAATGAATTAAAGGAATTCATTTTGAAATTGGTTTGTATTCATTTTGAATTTTTATTTCTTTATCTCTTCGCCTTTCTCCTCAAGATACACAATTAATAAACATTTGTAAATACATACAATAAATGGAAAACAGTTGTGAGAGTGCTTGCACTGCCCAGTGAACGCTAGTCAGGAGCCAATAGAAATTAGACGCTTGTAGAAGAAGAGTGGTGCGATTGTGAGGCGGCAGCTGCTCATCTGTAGTGCCTTAGTGATGTTTAGTTTACTAATTGTGGTGGTAGAAATGGTGCATGTGTGTCACTGCAGTGGTGCAGCAACTGCTTAAATATTGTATGAGAATAAGAAGTGCAGCACAACAGTGGCACCACTGCACTGCAACTATAAGCGTGTGAATTACACTATGCTAAAGTTTTAGTATGTGCTAAAACTATTCCAGTTAGGCGTGTTTTATTACTCTCAGATATAACACCCACCTGCGTGAAGTATTGTATATCGAAATTGTCAAGTTTACAGGGGAGCATTTTAAAAATTTGAATTAACTGGAATGAGCATAACACGTGACTTTAGCATTTCTCAGATTTATTCAGCAAAGCTTGTTATTCACATAGAGCAATCATCTAATAGATCATCTAAGCTACCTAGGATTTCATAATACTCTGTCCATATATTATGCTCGTTTCAGTGAATTCAGAATTTTAAAACGCTCCCCTGTAAACTGGGTAATTTCGACATATCATACTTTATATAGGAGGGGTCGATATACTTTACATCCTACATTAATTGGTTAACTACGAGACAGATTTTGCCTAGTGGAGCCAGTGTAACCGGTTTAGAAAAAGTTTAAAAGTACATGTCTTAAACATACATATTCCATAATGTGTAATATAATGTATTCTCACTTCTATGCCTGTTGTCTGAAATTGAACTGTATTTGTTTTTATGTACAAATAAATTACTTACTTTCTTTTTACATGTGATATTTATTATTTATTTCAGCATGGCCCAGTAGATATGTTTTACATGTCAATAGATAAGCGGCATTATTTTGTCGGCACTATACAGCTACATTTTAGCACAAAAGATGATTGGAAGAAGGCGTGGGATGAGTTTAATGGAAAATGTGCTGATGACCAGAGGATATTTGCTCATGTTGATGGTAAATTCTAATTAAATTTTTGCTCTATATACTACTTCAGATCACGATACAAACATCTGTGGGATATTCGCAATTCATTCAATCAACATACAATTTCTTGTTTCATATTAGACTTATTACTAGTAATTGTTAAGATGGTGAGGAGATGCTCTTTAGCGCATATTGTACTACATCATAAATAAGTAATTAAAGTTTCAAATAATTCTGGTTTTCAAATGCTGTAGCTTTACATTTTTACACTTTCTCAAAAAATTATCACATTTTACCATTAATTTAAGTGTTAATAATTTTGATAATTTTCTTACAAATCGAGTTCTTAGGTTTTCATTGCTATACATTGAAACTATATTATATTCTCTTATCTAAAATCGCATATATTGCAGCCCGATTTTGCTCGTACTCCATAACCTAAGCATACATGGCTACCAAGACTTGTAGCGGTCTGATTAAGGCTGTAGAGAGCTTCTGACATTGGGCAGGAATGGGGTCATAATACCTGCCTGGGCTCTCATAAGATACTGGTCCAAATGAAGCTTTCCAATCTTAAGCTAAGCGAGAGCAAAAACCGAAGTTCTACCATAAAGCGAATGAGACTATTCTGGCATCTAATAAACCCATTTTGCTATCTAAAAAGCTCATATTCTTTGGCATCTCCTAAACCAATTTTGCGATCTAAAAAGCTCATTTTCTTTGGCAACTCCTAAACCAATTTTGCGATCTAAAAAGCTCATATTCTTTGGCCGATAGTCGAACAATCAAGGCGAAACACGTATCGAGTATATTTTTGGTGGTGATGTTTGTATTTGCATTTGTGTTATTTATTTTATGAAGAGGGATGATGGGAAAAGTAACTGCAGGAATGTTGTGGCGCATCGAGTATATAACCAAAAATACATAGATACGAAATGTCATTTAATTTGTTTGAAAACTATTCTGCCAAATAATTACGGTGACAACTGAGCTCCGATTGGCCAGCCCGAATTCGAAGCAATTGACGGGTTTCGTCCATTGTTTCTCTTCAATTCGTCCAGTTTAACTTGAGCTTTGCTATAATGGACGAAAATTGAAAAATTACATATTTAATGTTTAATTACCGATGAAATGTGGTCCGTTTGTTTTGTAATTAGATGTTTTGCTGTTTTTCCCACACCACCGAATGGAACAGTCCCCCATAGTTAGAGATATTATCTTTAAGAAAAATCGATACAGGCACAGCTATTTTGTATGCTTTAACCTACACTGGGTTCGTGGAGTAGGAAAGGAATTTGTTTCCATTTTTGTTACCATGAATTTCCGCAAACTAATCGTGCTACTAAGAAAATCTTGCAAATATTGTTGGCTCCTTGTAATTAGTGATGATCACATTAGACAAAATGCTATTCAGAATTATGAAGAGCAGCATACATACAAATTAGGCCATCCTAATAAAGAAACAAAAACTGTTAACAGTTAACCTTTTTATTGTAAATGTGCTTTTGAGTAAACGTCTTATTTTTATCATCAAACAATTCTTTCACAGATTTCATGGACTCAGATACCGACACGGAAAGTGCAGAGCCTCCAATCAAAAAGTAAAAAATAAATGCTATTGTGTGACTGTTTAAACTATTCCGCTTCTTCAGTCGACTCTGTTCAGAATTAATTTTTGTCCCTTGTGATAGGAAAAATATTAATGTTAAATAATTTGTACAACTCACTAAAGTTTATTGTTGTAAAGTGTTGGCATAGTTGACAAAGTTTTGGTATAGTTGACAAAGTTTTGGTATAGTGGACAAAGTTTTGGTATAGTGGAGTACCAGGGTAACAGATTGCTCAGCACTTCACCGCGCACTACTAAAGGCGCCTTTAGCGTGGTCTTGCTTAAACTATCAGACAAGTCTTATGTGTTTTTAAACTATACTTATTACCTATGTAATTTTTTAAATAAAAAAATTATTAGCATGTACATAATTTTTGCAGGATAAGAGAGAACATAGAACCAGAGGATAATTCAAAGTCCGACATTGATGTATGGGAAACTGATCCCAAAGGCTTGTACGGATTGAAACCCGAGTTCTTACAGACTTTAGGAATAACACCACCAATAGACAGATGGGTGCATGTTTCTAATGTAAGTTTTAATATAAGTCATTGTAAATGTTATTTATAGCACTTAAAAAAATAACAAAGAATAGCTTTAATATTTATTGTAATCAATATGTTTTTCTACCATGATTATTCATTGATTTTTTGTGAAATTACTCGTCTAGTTTATTATAATTATTAATACAAGGTAGGAACACAAACAAAAATTCCTTCGATCTGAACACGAATCTGCATCTGACCCATACCCGGGTGACCGCTTTACCAACTGAGCTACAGATCGAGTCGGTAGACCTTACTTTTAGATTTTTGTATGTGTTTATCACAGATCTTTGTTTTAACAGCTATTTGGCCGTAGTGCCACCAGTGACAAATCTATGAAAGGTTTTCTTCACTCAACCTGCCCCCGTAGCATGGCTACGCATGATAGTCGCGACGCGCGCGATAAAATTGAAATAAGCGCGCCCTATTGGCTATCTAAATTAGATCTGATTGTGACAGCCAATAGCACGCGCATGTTTCAATTTTATCGCGCGATTCGCGACTATCATGCGTAGCCATCCTACGGGAGCTGGTACCTTTATAGCTACTGTTGACAAGAGATGTTGCTTCATAAATTGTAATATCATATCAGATGGAAGGAATTTTTCTTTCTGTTCGAGTAATAATTCAACAATAGCTTTTTTATTTACTATATATAAAAAATCATAAATACTAAACATGTTGTAATGCAATGTAGCAGAAACTGTACCATTTTCCCGTACATTGCGTAAATTCTTCGGTGGTAGTCTGGCTGCGTTTTATAGTGAGTTAATGAGTGGATTTTTTTTGTTATAGAATAGAATAAAATCAAAGCATGTTAATCTAACATTTTTTTAAAGTCATTTTTTTGTTTAAAGGTAATGGCTAAAACTGCAGAGACTCGTTAACATCCAAAAGTAGGTTGAATGCATTACCTATTCAAGAAAACTATAAATTGCTTTACAGGTAAGGTGTGACAAGAATGAACTAAAAGAAGTAATGGAGTTAGCAGGAGAGGTGTTAATGTGCACTGTGTCATTCTTTGCTGCCAATGTGAAATATGCGAAGGTCATGTATTCTCATCCTTTAGAGGCAGTTCAGGTATGTGTATAATTCTTCTTTATCATATTTTACAAGTTAACAAAGAATTCTAAGGGCCCCTTTAAAATGTTAAGATACACTTTTTATATATTTTTTACTTTCTTGCTTTTCTTGAATTCTGCCAGTGCCAAGTCAGTCATGCGAGTTACGCTTTTTTTTTAAATTTATGATTAACTATTTAAAACTGCTCTTTTAGTTACTACGTTACTATTTCGATTCCGTAATACGAAATAATACCATATACCAACACCATTCGTGATATTGACACATATGACGGGGGAAATTCCGTTTATACAGGCCTGCGTACATTCCACACAGTTGGCTAATCTGCCATGCTTGGTGCGCCAACATTGCAATATTGCTATGTTAGGTGTCGCCTTTTTAATGATTACCTAGTAGTGATCTCTACAATAATGTAATGAATTAATATTAACGCCATCTATTTGTTAAAAATAACAGGGTAACATTCCATTTTAAATAACGTTCCATTTCGATGAATGTCAAAACGAGGTTATAAATTAAACGCGCTGTTTGTAGTTTGCTTCCAGAACGTCGTCGTTCGTCGTAATTTAAATAAAACCGGTTATTAATAATGTAACATCAAATTTAAATAAAAAAACTCATTGAAAGTTGAAATTTATAACTTCTTTTTGATTATTAGTTTGCTAAAAAGAATGTGCATAATGCTGTTAGGTGACTGTATCCACCTACGTGTAAATCCGTTAAAGGGATTGTAGTAGGTAGGCTAGATTTAAGAACCACTGTTAATTAAAAAAAATAATGGTACTGACTTTGTGCCAACGTCATATTAAAACTGCCTCTGTGGTCGAATTGTTAACTAGACTGCCACGCAGAGGTCACAGGTACGACTCTCATATACATATATTTCTCTTTTGAGGTTAGAGGGTGTAATTTGTGGTTGTCTATGTGTGTGTCCATGGTACCCGCGACACATGGTTTCCCTAGTGCGGGGCTGTGTTGAGTGTGTGTGTTATTATTATTATTATTTATTTGCACAGCAGACGCAAGTGACGTCATCAGTCTTCTACCTTAAAAGAGCGTCGTCTCTGTCATATAATGCACTAAATGTTTTATTCTGTACATGCTTACCTTTTTGTACTGTCGTTCATCCTCAGTATTTTGCAGTATTTTGCTGTTAAACAGGCAGGTAACAGATGCTTAAAACTTGTTAAAACGAACTTATAAACTATTTTTTTAATTTGTTTAGACACCAAATCTACTTTATCATCTTACAATCCATCAAACTGCAATGGGAAAAGCGCTACACGCCTAATATATATTCAAACCAAATCAGATGCCTTTATTATTACTTAATTTATTAACATAGTTTTCAGTGTATTCAGTTTTAAATGTCATCGAAGTTTAATACAATATACATAGATTTAGATTTATCACATATTACTTTCATTTTAAAATTTAATTTTAGTATATCGCATGTTTACATTATTTATTATTTATATATTTATTATTAATTTAGATTAAGGACCCCATGTTGGATATAGGCCTCCTTCAACTTTTTCCACTTAACTCTATCCTTTGCTATTTCCATTCAGTGTTGTCCTGCTGTTGATAGGATGTCGTCCCCACATCTGGTCCTTGGTCTTCCTATTTTTCTTGTACATTAAAGTTTTGAATGTACTACATATAATTACATGCTTCAGGCCCAAACGAGTATCGTTCTCTTTTGTATGAAAAAACTTATCTTTCTACATATTCATTCTACATATATAATCGTATTGAATACGTAGCGCTAGCTTTGAATGCGATATTTTCATTACAATGTACACTGGGCGTTTACGGGATCAGAGGTATTATATCTGGGTCTGAATCACTTCACATATTATGTATACTATGAGATACATGGGGCCCTAGGGGGCTATATTTATTTATTGGCAACTTAACAAAGATTACTAACTGCTACTTTCTTTTTCAGGCAATATCAATGTTAAATGACCAAGAACTATATGGAGCGAAGCTTAAAATAGTAATGGACCACCTTGATAGTAATCTTACACACGTACTGCCAAAGGGACTCAAATCTGTGGGACCAGGTTTAGGAGTTATGGGTGTTCATTTAAGGGATGTTGTCCGCCAATATGAACGATATGTTAAAGGCTTCAACTCTGGTGTTAACAAGGAGTTTTTTCTAGAAATAGATGGCCACAATTACTGCAAAACTGTCTCCCGAAATAGATCGCGGAATTATTCTCAAGGTCATGTAACAAAATCTTTGAATTTGATGCCTTTAAGGCATCAAATACCGCAACCTGTACCACCAGCATCTTATGCTGGCAATTATAGACCTAACGGTCCTATTAATTATGGTTCTCAGACCAACCCTGGACATATGGGGCATCCTGTAATACCCAGTCATATGTGTCCTATGCCCAATCCTGGTCCTTCAGGGCCGATGGTCCCTAACATTCCATTGAATTGCCCTGTGGGTCCAGTTGGGCCTATTGGGCCAGTATGTCCCCCACGGCAAATGGGTCCAAATATCCCGGTTAATGGCCCACGACCCGTGGGGCCAGTACCTGCACCTGTCGGCCTCGTACCAAGACCTGGTAACCCCGGTGTAGGACCACGAGGGCCAGTTGCAGCCGTTGCTGGTCAGAGTCCCAGTGCTAGTCCGGGTCCGATGAGTACTGTAGCAGTACAGCAACCTCAAGAACATGTTACAGTGGAGCTTAGTAATGTATGTACGCATTATTATTTGCTTAAACAATTTCTTTTGCAATCAAGTATATAGTCGGGTATATAATCAGAAATAGAGACGAAATGTCATTTATTTTGTTAGAAAACTATTCTGTCAAATGGCAACTGCGGACAACTGCGCTCCGATTGGTCATTAGAGTTGGGCAAGCAAATATTATATTATCCAAATCGATAGTCAAGGTTATAAATAACATTATAAATAGCCATTACCTGTTTTTTTAGACGACTGACCAAACAAAGGAGCGTAATGTTTTCATTGTGAATATATGTAATGAAATATCGTTTCTTGATTCCTCTGTAACTTCTGATTGTTTTAACCGATTTCAGTGCAAGTGTTGATATTTATAATTGATGTATTACTGACGTGTTACCAGGAATGTAGGCTCTTATTTCGTCTCTATTTCTGGTTATATACTCGATAGGTGGAGGTAACAGGAACATATTTTGAGTCAAATGTTTTGAGCTCTATGAAGAACAGATAAAGTCTTTAACGATTTTCAAGTACACTAAACTTGCTTTGTTTGTCAGCTTCACATGTTTTAACAATCGTTACGATTTATTTGTCGAAAACATGCAGATTATGCTAACGTTTTTCTTCCCCCGGTAGGGTATTACGGTATAGTCGTCGCCTTGTGTTCCATTACCTTGTGTTCTCAAGTTTTCACAACTGTCAAATTTGTTTTTTCCGCCTTTTGGATTTGGAGCATATTAGCGACATCTTTTTGAAAGTCGTTTAAACTAATTTGTGTTTTATCGACTGAGAGTCTATAGTGATATACTCTTAGTTTATGAGTTAAAGCTTCAAGTCTCTTTTGGTCCGGTGTTCTTCTTACCCCACCTGACTCTACTTCTTTTTTAGCATTAGACAGAAGGAAAATTTGGCTATTTTCTGACCGGCTTAGGGTCGAAACACAATACTGCGAATCGGCAAAAGAAAACTGCGACGCGAATTCCTTCAACGATCGTCAACCGTACTGAACGCATTTAATTAAACTAGGTACTGACATGGATCGTAAAAAGATTGTTTGTTGCTCTGCTGTTATTGATGAGAAAGTATAGAAAAAAAGACACAAATACGATTAACATCGCAGGAGTGTGCGATGCGGAGCAATTAATAATAACACACTCAACATAGCCCCGCACTACGGAAACCCTGTGTCGCGGGTGCCATGGACACACACATGACAACCACAAATTACACCCAAACTCACGAGAGAAATAAATGTAGGCCATACAAATGGTGCGTGGCAGTCCGGCATGGTAACCGTTCGGTCACGGAGGCAGTAAATTCGCAAATTCTAGCGATGCATCGTGCGAGCTCGTCGATTTTTGCGATGCGACGTCGCAGCGCAGTTTTGTGTTTCGGTTCCTTAATGCGATTCCGCGTCGATAAGTGTGGTTTATTCCTAATTGGACGCACCACATACCGTCATGTCTCCATTTTCAGCTTCCACTGTCAACGACATTCCCGTTGCTCTGCGACAAGATGGCGCAGTGCGGTGCGGTAATGTCCCTGCAGTTAGGCGCGCCGGGCTGCGCCATCGTACAGTTCGCCAACCGCATGTCTGCTGAGAAATGCCACAGTATCCTTTTACAAAAATTAAAAAAAAGATACGCGCAGGTGTAAGTCTACATCATGATTTTTAATAAGTTCATCATCAACACAGTTTTCATACTAGTTACCACCGTTATACCACGTACTAAACGTTTTTAAGATTATTAAGTGACGACACGACTTTATAGAGAGCTAATAAAGTAGGTTAGAGTTTGTATAGGGAAGTACTGCCACTTTACCTATTTTCGCTGCCAAGCAGTGATGTAAGCATTACTAAGTTTCGGTTTTGAAGGGTAAGGGTGCTGGTGAAATTACAGGCACATGGGTCTTGTTAACTTATCCCAGCGTGACGGGCGCAGGGGCAATGCCCCTCAGATCTTTGCGAATTAAAGCTCTAAGTGGTATTGGAGTTGTTATGCACAGGCGTGTCGTTTAGCATCAGGCATATGACTTGTTTATTCCGTTACCACGGCATCAACCTTTTTTTATGGTATTAAAAATGGTTGATTTTGCATTCAAATCAATAAATGAAGAAATTTACAAGTATTGACAGTTCAATTTAAAGCTGCTGTTAACTGTAAAGGTACCTGGCTATATGAAGAAAAACTTTCATAGATGTCTGACAGAAGCGCTACACGGCAAAAAAGTCGTTACAAAATAAAAACAAAAATCTGCAATAAGCACGTAGTAAAATTCGTTAGGTCTGCTGGTTTGTTCCTTAGCTTAGTTGGAAGAGCGTCGGCCTGGTATGCTGAAGGCGCTGATTCGTATCCAGCTGGATCGAAGGAATTTTTCTTAGTGTTCGCTCTTTGTTTCAATAATTATAACACTAGTGGAGTAATTTCCCAAAAAAACTAATTGAATATTATGGTCGTAAAACATTATATACATATATATTTAATAAATTTCACATTACAATTCATTTAAGTTTGTCAGTACATAACGTTCTAATTATACAAATATTTTCTACGTCGTATACATACTATTCCTTAATCATCTTCACAGAGCAATACAATCAATGCCTCGTTATGGGTAACGTGATTGAGGTGAAATTCCTTTAAACACGGTCATTGCGGTGGGTATGTATACTCTTTATTTTCAGGATTATATTTTCTTCAATTCCCGCAGTTGTTTACATCAATTCAATTCGGAAGGTTTAACATCTCTTCCAAAGGTAATTGTTTCTATCAGTTTTTTAAAAGTACTAAGTCTATCAGTATTTATGCAAGAAAAGTCTAGGTAGCACTTACGAAATTACACGAAATTACACGACGCGTTATTTAAAACAAGATGTATTCTAGATAGGGTTGCAATGCATGTATAATATACATAACGGAAGCAGTGTGCCCTTCAAAGGGAAGGGACTTCTGGGATTGGTAACCTTTTCAACCCGTTACACGTCTTAGAGACACACGATGTTCCTAACGATTTTGGTACTGTTCTAGAGCCACGTCGTGTCTCTAAAGTGCAGCTGTGTTTTCATCCACTATTATATATATATATAAAAAATATTTTTACCTGCATCGTTAGGGCAACGTGAGTTTCTAGGATGCGTACAACTCTATTTCCAGGGCTGGGCAAAATACTTACTGTCTTAATTAAAATATAACACAAAATATATTTTACTCCAAAAAGCCAATAATGTTACCATTTTGTGTTGTAATGTTACCATTTCATTGTGTGCGTTATTTATTTCTAAGCTAACAACCGTCGAGACCAATTTAATGAGCCCATAGACCATATGTTCCCAAACGTTTTGACTCACCGCCTTTAGTAGGCAAGATAAACAAATTTCAACCGTCCCCCTAGGACACTTCACCGCCCACTGGGGGGTAAGGACCACTTTGGGAAACGATGCCATAGACTATACTTCTACTGTAGGCGGTTGAGGAGTTGGGTAGTCTGCAGGCTGTCCTGGTTGCAGCATTAGATCAAATTTACCATGTTTATTGCAGTGTCATCGGATTTCCGTAGTATATACGAAGTGAAATAAATATTCATTTCATAACTGAGGTCCGTACACTAATTGGGAAAAGAACTGATGACCTTTAAACAATTGGTCAGATGATTATTACAACAAAGATCGAATATAAAAGATCGATATCGATAATAAAAGATCACCTGTGGCTCAGTTGGTAAGAGCAATGCTACGGTGCAGCATGGTCGTGGGTTCAAGTCCCACTGGGTCGAAGAAATTTTTCTGTGTTCTATTTTTGTGTTAATAATCATAACAAAACTAGTGGAATTATTCCACATAAAGTCTATATAATACAGTTGGTCAGATGTTCATCAAATATAGTTACGGACTATTTCGATTAAATTAACCTTAAAAAAAAATATTAAATCAGTCCATCCGTTTGGGAGCTACGATATTACAGCAAACATACATATATGCGAACAAAGGCTTCAAACTTTATTCAGATGAATAGAAGGAGAAAGAGGAGGAAAAAAGAGAGCTTTTTGAGTTGGGGGTTAAAAAATACATAATTATAACTTTTTTATTAAAAAAAACCGACCTAAACCGTTCGTGGAATTACTTGCCAAGTTTTATTGGAATCGATAAACGGAAAGTGTTGGAAACCAGATTCATCCCCTAGTTTGCCACCCTTCGAGGTGGCATATATTATTCAAATTTAAATGGGGCCCCTCTTTCCAAGAAAAAAACAAATCATCAAAATCGGTTGACAATTGCTGGAGTAATAGAGGATTACTCATCATATCTTACACAAAAAAAATACAGTCGAATTAAGCACCTCTTTTAATAAAAAATACAAATACGTTAGTACGTCTTTGTATGTCAAGTAAGTCTTACAATTACATGTAATTCAAATACTGCCCAGCCCTGCCTATAATCAATGGCGCCAACGTCTCAGCTTACAATGGAAATATAATTTACATATTGGCCGTGCGTCCCTTCAAAAGGATTCAATGAAACTATATTTTCTTCTTGATACTTTCCAGTGGTCAAATAGGTGAACACCTATTTTCTTATCGAATGTAACAGGGAGCTACTTACGGTTGAATCAGATTTAGCACGCTTCAGCATTGCCGATAACAAAATCAGGTGTGTGTGGTGCTGATAAAAGTGGTTTTATTTTTATTTTGTGTCTCTATATTTATAGCAACATACCACAGGTTTTTCTCAATTAGATTATAAGTGAGCTTTTAATTTCATATAAGTAATTACTTTAGTAGTATTACTATGTATTTTGTAGCTGTAAAATCAATGAACTATAACTATAATACTATTATTTTATATACGTCTTTATAATAATTACGAAATAAGTTCCAGAATTGTAGATTAACTTTCAAAATAAATTGTGTAGTTTGGTTTTTAAATGTGTCGTGTATGTATGATTATTTAATCTTTGAAAAAATATGACTTATAATTATTAATACAAAGATCGAGCACCTAGGAAAAATTCCTTCGATCCGGCCGGATTTGAACTGACGTTTTCTAGCAAACCGTGCCAGACGCTATGCCAACTAAGCAACGGAAACCAATGAACCAGTGGACCTCACGAATTTTTCTATGTGCCAACAACAACAACAAGGATCGTTGTATTTAGTTTTTCAACGACTTTTTAGCCGTAGCTCCATCTATGAGAAATTTATGAAAGTAGTTCGACTAGAAGACGTCGGTTCGAATCCGGCCGGATCGAAGGAATTTTTTCTAAGCGTCCGATCTTTGTATTAATAATTATAACAAACTAGTGGAGTAATTTCACAGAAAATAATTGAATATCAATTCAATACAAATTTAAAATATGACTTGTTAGGCTAAGTATGTGTTTACATAGATAACACAAACATGTTATCATTATCACCTAGCCATTCCTTGTGAATTTTCGTAGTTTAAATATGAATAGTTTATTTCATTATTATAATAAGGGTTTTCTCTTTGTTATTTGTAAGAAAGTGGTCTACAATACACTGTTTCACCCATAGACATATATCTAGATAGACGCCGCAATTGTACGTACTTCGCGTGGCCAAAGTAATTGAAATTCACTTACTTGCTGCTGCTACAGTTCGCGAAAAAAACATAATTGTGCCATTACAAACTGATCAACATTTTTGTAAAAACAAGTAAAATAAAGGACTTAACCATTTTATTCTAGAATTTTTGTACCATATTATTATTACGACTATTTGTAATCAACAAATACTTGAACAAAAATTATTATATTTAGAATCGATTAATCGAATGCGTATTCCGTTCAATCAATCGATTTAGAGCGAGCGGAAGGAGGTTCCCATCACTAAATACGAGTAGCTCCATTGGCGTCATAGTGGGTACAAAAATGTGGTACGCTTGGTTTTCATAAAATTTGCTGTACTTGCGGCGTCTATCTAGATATAAGTCTGTGGTTCCACCACTGATTTTTACGATTATGCTGACTATTTATTTATAGAATCGGCACCAATCGTAAAATGTAACGGTGCAACGCTCTTCTCGGTTGATTAGCTTCTTCAATTGATTAGATTTTTTTTATATAGTTGTAGTTTTATCATTGTAAGAGTGCCGTTTCCATCTACTTATTTTTAGGGATATTTTATATTTACGATATCTATGTTGGATGTTGTAGGTATTTTCAGGCATTTTTAAAAAGTAAGAATATTTCGATTTAGTGGTTCGAGTGTTATTTACACACGCTGCTGGTAACAATAGGTTCAACGTTAACTGAACTTTTGAGCACATTTTTATACAATGTTGTTAGCAATACGATAACAGTTTTCCTATGTAATTTTTAAGTTAATTTTAACTATGAATATTATAATATTATTTTGTTTGTTAGGTACCTATATTTATACAATTATTTTATACACTACTATTATTTTCGGTTATAAATTATAGGTAATTTTAAAATATACCTTACATAGTTATAGTTAAGTATACTTAGGTTTTTAATTAAATAAAAATATCGTGATAAATTATAAACTTGTTTCAATTTTTCCATTCGCATCCTTCCTTATGCTAGCGATCAAACTAAAACGATGATCTCGGTAGCCCAACGGTTTGCATTATGGGCACTGGATGAGGAGATCTCAAGTTCAATTCACAATATCTTTTGATTTTTTTTCTCTGTCGTCGAGTGGCTTGCACGCCGGTTTTTATGGTGTCGCCATCTCTGAGGTTTCGGGTTCGATCTCCGACCGGGCAAGTGTAGAAAACTAACTTTTTCTATTTCCTTATTTTTTCTATTGTCTTGGGTCTAGAGGTTTGTGGTACCGTCGTTGTTTTCGATTTCCATAACACAAGTTTTTTTTTTATTTTTTTTTTTTTTTTGATTGAAAATTATGATAGTACCCATATCTCCACCATTCTATGGTCCCTACTACATCTCTTGTTTGACAGCAGGCAATTGATGTGGTTGTTTGACACATTATTAATATTTTGGATATCTATTTAGAATCGCGCCTCTCCCAAAAAGATTAATTTATTATTATTATTGTCGCCGATGGAGCAGTTTTGTACTGGAATGGCGACCACGTCAAAGAAAACTTAGTGTGAGACGCCCTCCGGCAAGATGGACGGACGACCTGAGCAAGGTGGCCGGCAATGGCTGGATGCGGGCGGCACAAGACCGTGAGAGTTTGCGTGCTCTAGGGGAGGCTAAGTCCAGCAGTGGATGCGTGTAAGGTGATGATGATTATTATTATTATTAAAGTTGTCTATTACTCCGGGCCTTAATTCTGCTGATTCTTTTGAACCCACTGGTCATTGTAATTCCATTGAGACTCCATTAGGGTTCGTAGTATCTGAACCCGGGGTCAGTTTAAATTTGCAACGGAACCCGAATGAGCCCAAATGCGAGTAACTTGTGATCCTAAGACTGGTTGCTTGTCAAAAATAATTAAATTTGAGTCGCATCCAGTGCCGGGTTCAGTTGCACCACGTGAGATGACATTAAATTTGTATCGTCTGAACCCGAATTCATTTTCGATAGATGTAGGTACGTTTATGTTGGTACATTGTTGCTTTAAGGGGTGATCAAGTGCCGATCGCTTAATTTTAATTACTATTTTGACGTCACCACGCGTCAGTTTTTTTGTTTTATTTCATTAATGTGTTCTATTTCTGAATCTTATGCACAGGAAAAAGTGGACAGTGATTTTTTTATCACCCTGTATAATATTAGTATACTACACCGTGCGTCGACGTGTCATGGACTCGCCATTGAAGAACAGAATACAAAAAAGAAGTAACAATGGCAGTTGAATAGAAGCTCTATGGCTAGTTACTGACAAGGCATATTACTCTGCACTTTTAGCAGAATACTAAACGTATAAAATTAGCACTCTATCTTGGACTTGGCTCCCTGTTTATTCGTGCCATAAACGCTGTACTTTATCATAGTGTAATAAGACTAGTAGGTTAACTTCTGCCTGTTTGACGCATCAATGTTTACCGTACTTCGTTCGAAGAGTAAGGTTGGCACATTATTATTTTACTTGTACCAACAAGTTGTAAACATAATTTAACAAAAACTAAGGTGTTTGTCGCAGTATTCTTGTGCAATTTTGAAATAACTTTTTGTTAAATTCTTCTTTAACTGCTTCCATGATGTAACAGTCACCACGCACGTATGTCACGTCGAGTCCCGGGTTCGATTCTTGGGCCGGGAGAAATATTTGTATGGCCAACATTTATATCTCTCGTGAGTTTGGGTGTAACTTGTCATCTATGTGTGTGTTCATGGCATGTGTTCCCTACTACGAGGCTATAAGTATGTGCGTTATTATTATATTAAATGCAGTACTTACGTATTGGTACTTTAAAACCAGCATCACGAACGGTATCTCAGTTATAGGAATATGATTATGAAATCGAAATGAAATGCTGAACAATTCTGAATTTAAAGCACTGTTCAAATTCGCGTCCGGTTCAATTCTTAATGGCGTGCGTGCGTTACAGATTTTTATTAATTTTAGTGCACGTCTGTTAAATTGTCTACTAGCATAGGTTGATTTTACAGTATCGTGGCGAATCACAAAATGGCATCTTTTTTTCACTACGCAAGAGTCATAACTTTGAGTTTTGTGTATCCTTAACGTCACTTGAAGTATAGGTAATGTATATATAATTTTCGCATTGTCAATTAAAACTGTTGTGGCTTAAATATAAAAGCTAATTTATAAGTATGGTGTTGTTAACTGTTTTGTAGATCTATTATTATTATTATTATATATTCTTTATTGCACCAAACAAATAAACAGAAACAAAAAAAAAACATAAGGTGAGCAAAGGTGGACTTATCTCTAAAAGAGATCTCTTCCAGCCAACCCAAGGCAGTGAGAGCAAAGGTTTTAAGCGGGGAACGGCGTGCAAAAGAGATAACAAAAGATGATAATCTACATGTATAAAATATGCATATATAA